TCTCGGCAATGTCTTTGTCTCGGTTTAGGCGGTCTTGACTACAACACTAATAGCTAGTTGTTTAACACTATGTTTAAACCATTCCCATTTGCTGACATTAGTCATCATCATATTATTAATTTCTAATTTAATTTTTTTAACCTTTGTTCTGTAATAAACTATTATTAAATTTCCATATGTTCTCAGATCTTTGTTGTTTACGTAAAGATAATGAGAGACTTATCAGACAATGATCAGTAAGTGGGGTTGATTGGGTTTCACATTTAGTAACATATGATGATATTGTTTGGGAGACAAGCCAATAATCTAGTCTTGAACATACATTCTTATTTGTTGGACTAAACCAAGCGTATTTCTTTGTATTAGGGTTTGTCATCCTCCAATAATCCATCATATTAGTAGCCGTACAAAAGTCACAGATAATGCTATCGTATTCTGGTTGTTTCCCTCTCTGTGGTTGTCTGTCAAGCCATGAGTTAGGTGCCAGGTTAAAATCGCCTCCAGTTATTACCTGAGTAGAACCATACGTATTGCTCCAATGTACAATCAATTTACTTAGATTTATCATCATGTTTCTATTTAGAGACCTGTTGTTGTATCCATACACGTTTATAAGAATAATTTTCTATTCACAGACGTCTACCAACACCATAATCCAATGTCCTGCTTCATCACTATTATGATCAATAACTTTCCCCGCAAAATTGTTAAATAAAATCATCACTCCTGCTGAGTGAGCAGTACCATGTGAATAAAGAATACCTTCTCCCCATTGATGTTTCCAAAACGTTTCCTCTTCCTTACTAGAATGTGTTTCTTGTAAAAACAGAATGTTTGCCTTGATTTCTTTGCAAAATAAAAAAATGGCCTTACGTTTAACATTGTCTTTTAAGCCTCGAACATTTAAAGAACTTATTAGAACAGCCATGTAAAAGTGAAGAAAATTTTGGGGGGCCGAGAACCAATTAATTGGTTTTCCATTATTTCTCATGGGAAAAATTCGATCAGAACTCAAACTTTTTAGGATTCCGGAAAGGATTAAGTTCAAGAACCGAGGTACCAGTGCATCATTTGCAATTAAACAAACCTTATACAATCTCCACAAACTCCCAGTTCAGAGCTGACCTTCTTACTTTCCTAATAGACTGATCACACACATTATCCCTTATAGAATTTAAATATTTAGTAGATCCATGACTTTTTGAAGTTAATTTAACATGACAAAAAGCACTTTATTTTAATCTTTTATTTAATCCAACAGTGCATATGAAGATTCTGCCTCTGGTTCCTGCTTGGAGACATTCTGTATTGACTAATGAAGGGTGTGATGTAGATGCCATGTTTGGTTTGTTGATCCCTTTTGTCTAAACAAATTTCGCCCCAAAATCGAAGCAGCATCGTATAATGGCAGCAGAGGGAATGTGAATGGGTGTGTGAACGTGAAAAGCAGAAGTATCTGATGGATCTTATTACTACTCCAGAAAAACATTATATATAGTGTTTAGTTCACAGAGTCCAGAAAATGTAATGAGTTGGCTGATATTGTTGTTCATACTGGTAACATAGTACTTGCTCAAATTAGGTCAGGTAAGGACTCATCTGGAAAAAGAAAAAAAAAACACTTACCCCAGCTGGGAAATATAGGGCAGACACTGAAGAAAACTCCATAGTTCATTCTCTTCATCTGACCAGCTTATAATGTTAACTGGTTTTTTGTCTGTCTGGAATTTCAGCACTTCAAGGAGGATGGACGCCTTCCTGTTAGAGAGGTCTATATCCCAGACTGCAGGAGCTGACTGATAAACTGGATTTAATAATGGCTGAACACTCTGGCCTCTTTCTGTTTCAAAGACTTTAATATGGGAAAACAGATCCAGCAGAAATTCAACGTGTCTCTGTGAGGTTTTTTCATCAAAAATGGTATTAAAATCAATGACGTCTGCTAACAGCATCACTGTCTTCTGTCCTGTTTGCACTTCGTTTTGTGCTGCTTGAAGAAAAAGTTGCAGTACAAAGTTATTTATGGGTCTGTGAAGCCTAGAAGAAAAAAACATTAGGATTATGTAACTTTTAAACTTTGTACTGAATTGTGGATTTTGTAGTTTTATGTAATGCAGCGACTAAAATTTTATTTTAAGCTTTTATTTAACTTAATAGTGCACTACACAACAAACTGCCATGGCTGGCAAATTAGCCTGCACACAGACAGATACAGAAATAGCAATGCATCCACTTTAACAGTAAAAAAGGTCCAGGGTCTGGTCAGTCCTATAGGAAACACAGGTAGCTGCTTAGGGCATCAACTTCTGAAGAGACGACTTGCCAACCAATTTCACTTTGCCTCAGGGGTGCCACATTGGTATTGGGTGCAAAGTGCTATATATCAAAGGGTAAATTTCAACCAAAAAACACTTCTGAGATTTGGAAGGTAGGTGTAATTCACATGCCAAATTTAATCAAAATCTAAAATGGTGATTCAAAGGTAATTTGAATTAAAATGGAATGACCCAACTTATATGCATAAAACATATTTTAATTACACAAAACCGACCTGATTCTCTTGATACGTGGCAAACATTTGAATATCATGTCCTTGAGGGCTTCACCGAGATGTTGAAAGTCCTGATCCACGTGCAAATACAGTTGTATCTTCTCTGGATGCTGCTTCATGATCGCCCCAGCTTCTTCAAACACATCTTCATCTTCATCCTCCATCACATCAAAGTGCAGATCATTTCCAATGAGTCTGGGTAACGATGTCCTTGTGCGGCCTCATTCACAAAAAAAAAACAGTATAGCAGTGGTTAAGTGTCAAAATGTATTTCATAAGCTTTTATCAGTTTCCATTTCTATTATACTATGGAACAATAAGCTCATTCCTTACAGTTTAGGTTAAACAGGCGTTATATTACAGACACATTACTGTAACAGAGTGATCACCATGGATGTGTCAGACGACCTGCCACTCTGGAACAGCACCAAGCAAAGGGGGGGGACAGCAACAGTCATGAGAACCGTTACAGGAGGAAAACCATGGGGGACCTGATCCTGCTGATATGTGGCAAACATTTGAATATCATGTTCTTGAGGGTTTCACCGAGATCTTGAAGGGCTTCATACACATCCTCATCTTCATCCTCCATCAGATCAAAGTCCTCATGTTCTACGTCCATCATGTCAAGGTGCAGATCAATTCCAATGAGTCTGGGTAATGATGTCCTTGTGGGTCCTCATTCACAAAAAAAAACAGTATAGCAGTAGTTAAGTGTCAAAATGTATTTCATAAGCTTTTATCAGTTTCCATTTCTATTATATTATGGAACAATAAGCTCATTCCTTAAAGTTTGGGTTAAACAAGTGATATATTAAGGGGCAGCGTGTGGCTCAGTAGGCTGTGCCTGTAATCAGAAGGTCACTGGTTCAAACCCAACCCCAGCACGTCTGTGGGTCCTTGTGCAAGGCCCTTAACCCCCAGCTCCCTGGGCACCACTAAGGGTGGCTGCCCTTTGCGAACAGCTTACTCTACAAAGAGGAAGTTGAGGGAGGTATAAAGACAATTTCCCCCACGGGGATCAATATAGTATCAATTATTATTAATTATTATTATATTACAGACACATTACTGTGGCAGAGTGATCACCAGGGGTGAATCAAACAACCTGCCACTCTGGAACAGCACCAAGCACAGGGGGGGGGGGACAGCAACAGTCATGAGAACCCTTACAGGAGGAAACCCCTGGGAGTCATGTGTACTCCACACCGCTGAAGGAAATCAACAATCAGCGGCCAAACTGCCTTGGGAGGGACACAAAAGTAAGAGAGATATCGAACTGAAACACTTTGGGTGGTGGTCAATGTACAATGATGCATAAAGAGAGACCTCTCTCTGTGAGCACATGTGAGAGAGAGAGTGGAATGTGGTGAGTTGGGATTTTAATTTCAATCTGATTCAGTCCCATACCATGGCTGCCATTGCCAATACCAATATAACACTTGCCACATGCATTTTTATTGCATTTTATTGTGTTACATTTCAATCAGTTTTTTCTTTAACTTTCAAACAAATTAGGGAGTTATTAGTACATACGCACTTGTATGCACTCACACTGAATTTTATTTTGACCAACAGATGCACAGATCAATTTGGATAACAGATGCTCTGTTTCAGCTATCGAGATGTGCTACCTGATGCACAAATTTTCATTGCCCATTATGACGATGATGATGTTCAAACCAACAATGTTAACATGAGCCCAGAAACATGTCGACATACATGTAAAAAATTGAATTTCATTCCAAGGTATGTTAATTGTAGAATTAATTGTTTGTGCATTGATACCGACATGATTAGATTTTATTGTAATTTCCTAAAGTCTAGTAAATGAAGTAGGTATGATATTCTAAGTGTTTATTTAATTAGCCTATAACTAACATATACCATTAATTGGTACCTATTTCTGTTATACCATGTTATGCATTGTCTGTTTTGATTTCTTTATTCAAACCAACTCCATGTTTACGAGAAATTCATCCTATTTGTAAGCTGCTTTGTAAAAAAAAATGTATATGAAATAGATGAATTAGTATATACAGTGGTACCTCAGAACTCGAACTCAATCCGTTCAGAACTCTGAATCAAATCCTAAAAAGTTCGAGTTCTGATCGAATTTTCCCCATAAGAAATAATGGAAAACCAATTAATTGGTTCCCAACCACAAAAAATTACACCTAAATATGTTTTTTTTTTTTAGCATTTAAACACAAAATGAACCGGATAAAATAAGAGCATATATTGTACTAAACACATCTACGCACATTTATCAAAACAGTAATTTGTAAAGTAAGAAAACAATTGTATCCAAACAATTTGTAAAGTTAAAAAAAAGTGTCCTGCCCCGATCCTACGCTCCTTCCGTGTGCCACGCCCCCTCGTTAACCCCGTGTGGAATCCCCGTGTGATCAGCTGTGATCTGGTTGTTGTCATTAGTGCTTTATTGTACTTAGTCCGCGTTTCCACAGTCCGGTGACTGTATTGTCCGTCTGCATTTTGCTGCCTTACCTGTAATTAAATCCCGTATTCCCCGATACCCTGACGTCTGCGCTTTATTCTCCGTTCTGTTCCTGCTCGGCACGAAAATATTATTATAAATGTATTAATGGTTTATTATTAATATTAAAATAATTAATAAGAAATCTTTATTTTAAAATGCATTTTATTATATAATAATAATTACTGTTACTGCATGCCTATCATTGTCTAAATGTATTTTTACTGTCTAAATATATGTATTCAGCTAGTGTAAACAGACATTTACAGGACATTATTAACGTTGTCAACAGGTCCCATTTAAGTCCTGGCAGAATGTTCAAAAATGGACTTTCACATGGTTTTTGGCAACAACCAGTATAGCTCCTCACATGATGTTGTTTTATGACGTCTAGAAAACGTTACAGAACGCCCCATCTTACTTCCGTGAAAAGTTATTAAAGCTAGAAAACCACCGCACATTGATTGTCTGTGTGGCTGAAGAGAGCCCGACTTCGCCTATAGTTGGACTTCTACTATACGGACCTAAGAAATCTGTAAGATAATATTCCATCTCGGCTGAAATTGTATCTTTCGAAAAGAATATCATCCGGCAACAATAAAGGATCTTGCAGATCGCGCAAAACCCTCTCAATGTGAAATTCCCTTCTTATTATTTGTGCACCGATATTGATTGGTCGCTCGATCATCCATGAATGGCGAGGCCATGACTGAACGGATTTCCACGCACGGCCACTGATTAAGTGTGTGAGCTAATCCTTGTTTACGTAGAACAATCCTGCTCGGTGCAGCTTTGAGGGTTTGGATGTGCTGCTATGACAACACATCCAGCAAGAGTTTCGAAAAACCGACAGATCCAGGATAATGGCAAATCGTCAACAATAATTACATCCGGTTAAACGAGTAATCCACGTACGACAAATACCCCCCGGAAATCACAGTTCTAGTGTCAACACCCTACAAATTCAATCAAATGACGTTTCCAAATAGTATAATCAAATAGGCGACACAACAAAACAGAAGAGGAGGGAAGGAGGAGGAGGAGCAGCAAAGTGTGCATCGAAGAAGTGAAAGGAGCAATGTTTGCACTGATAAATACACAGACTTTTTGATGAAACGGAAGCAATGAACTGAACGGATTATGAAACCGAAACTTATTTATACACGAGGTAGCCCGTATAGCAAAAGGAGGCGTTAGTGAAATTTGCTATACGATGGATTTAACTTTAGTGAAATGCACGTCAATGACCATGATTATATGCACCATGTAATATAATATGTAAATTACACTTACCAATAAGGCTTTGTGTTACTGGTACATTCGATTAACTCGGCGAAGTCGTAAATTCCGAAGTGTGTGACGTCACATCCGACAAATCCCCCGCTCCAGCTACACAATTATAATATTTTATCAGATTTGGAGCAAGATTCTATTTTTCCGGGAGACAAACAATCAACAAACATTAACTAGTCAAACCACATTAAGAGCTTTATAATATTGTAGTATTGTAGTCCATATGCATGAGTATAGATACCCAGCATCCAAGTGCTCCTTTAATTTTTTTTTGAGAAGTGTAGGCCTATTTGTTAATTTTCTGTACACTCACCTAAAGGATTATTAGGAACACCATACTAATACGGTGTTTGACCCCCATTCGCCTTCAGAACTGCCTTAATTCTATGTGGCATTGATTCAACAAGGTGCTGAAAGCATTCTTTAGAAATGTTGGCCCATATTGATAGGATAGCATCTTGCAGTTGATGGAGATTTGTGGG